TACCGGGGGTTTTCCGAGCCCGTAGGCTGGGCAAAAAATATTCCCTTTGAACCCGCATAAACGGTTTCAGGGATGTCTACCTCCCCGTACGAAATTTTGCCCTTCGGCAAAACCTCGTCCGGGTTCCTCTCTGCCGAGACAGAGTTCGACAGTTCGAATGTACTACCGAGGCTTACTCTCCTACTAATTTTATAGTAAGTGGAAGTCCACAATAGAATCATTAGAGGGAGGGCACCACAACAGTAATGTATCAAACAGCAGTTCAAATTGTCCTTGTTGGAATTGGTACACTCGTCACTATTACCAGGAATATATCTACCTCACAAGATGCTTTGTGGTTACTAATTTCATTGGGAGTGCTAGTGTGGAAGCACTGCTTGGAACATATCTTGTGCTGAGGAAGTTTTCAAGTAGGGACTTCGATAAGATCCTCACCACTCAGTCGAAACATCATTGAATCGCAAGAGATCTCAAATTAAATAATGATATTAATAGGTGTAGATAGGTTCGCCTATCGTTCGATTCACATTCGTCCCCCAACTTTTGAACAGGAGTAGAATTTTATCCCTTGTTTCTTCTTTAGGATTAAGTTTCTGCTTGCTTGTAAAGTCTTATTCAACTGTCTACTTCTAACGTCTCCGCCTAAACACTGAAATTTATGGTTTTCGGTTACTTCTAAATTATTTTCCTTCTTTTTCAATTCCGGTGGCCCCTTGGGGTTTGGTGGCATTTATCATCTTGCTTGAGGCCGTGCCTCTAACTCTGTTAACATCTACATGGAGTCGGTCAGGTCTTGTACAGGATGAACATCATTGTAAAAAGTAATAGGCGACGTTGAAGTTGGGATGGCCAGAGGAAAACAACGCACAACCTACTTGAGCGAATCGATAGCGGAGAAGGGTTTGGGAGAGATGTCAAGAAAACAAAGGTTATTAAGGGCCACAAAGGATAGGAAATCGTGGAAAGACGTGATCGTCAACGTCCTGAAGAAGAGAATATCATTAATAACAATACATTACATTCTGTGAAGAGAGCAGTAAAAAGGAAAAAAATATTTATGGAATGCATTGGAAAATGAGAGTATAAAGATACTATGTGATTTCCCTGATGTGATAATATAATTTAATCAACATTTCTAAAAATATCATTGAGCAAGCTGTGTTATATAATAAATATAAAGGTAGCAGCTGACATATGGGAACTTTATAAAGATAAGGATAATCATGATTTCAAACATGAGATAGTGCGCTTGTGGAAACTTGAGAAATTAGCGTCCTGGGTAAGACGATAAACGACATCCAACAGCAAGATCAGGAGGTTTTGAGGAGTGTGGAACCACCTCTTAATTGCTGGTGTACTCAGATCCACCCTGGCTCGGGGTGGTAGCACCTGCTAGGGTCTATGCTATGGGAAATAGTTAAGTCCCAAAAAGGTGTCAAAACAATATGAAATATTTTGTAATAAAAATATTACCAGCAATACATTTTTGAAAATAAATATTACCAGCGATACATATTTGAAAGAAAATTATTACCAGAAACAGGTTTTCGAAAAAAAAAAGTTACCAGAAATAGATTTTGAACTAACAATAAAATTTTGTAGACATTAAATAACCCATTGAGGTTGTTATGAAACCAAACCAAAGCTTGAGAAATTACAATCTTTTCCTGTTATTCTGGGTACCCTTCGACCAATGACTGATAACATTTAAAAAATGGTTAGGTATAGCTGAGATTGAGTTTTGACGAGAGATTCCTTCGAAAGTAGAACTGCTTGGAACGGCCAGAATTCGGAGATAGTTTTTAGTCAATGAATAAATTAAATTCAGGCTTTTTATCATTTTTTAATCATTTCACTCCAAGTGAAGCGATAAAGCCACTGAGATTCAAGGAATTTCAGAGTTTGAAGGAAGCTGAGAAAACGTTGAAAACAAAGCACATTATAAAAAAATCAAGATTAAAAAATCAAGATTGACATTTCATTCGAATTTTTGAATATCGTAGTTGACAGAAAAGGAACATGTCGGACAAGAGTTCCATGAGCGAGATGTGCTTGGTTGGTGAATTTTGTTTAGTGGCATATCATCCTCTATGGGTTATTTAATGGCGAAATTTAAATATTTGGATTTTGATTGGTTGATTGTATACGTAAGATCAAAGGTCTTGCTACGGAATGAAGTTTATCGTCATACAACAAGTGCTAGGGAAGAAAAAACTATTAGCTCATAACTTATGCTTAGAATGAACAATTCTAACAACAAAATGATGCGACCTAATTGCCAATCTAGTACGGTGCTTAAATTCGTGAAGTCGTGATAACAAAGAGGAAATTCCATCGGAACAAATGCCATGGAAATATTTATAGAAATGGCGCAAGAAGATACGTTGCAGCTGAGATGCCAGGTCCGGATCGATAACATTGAAGATTCGTCTTTGTAATTTGTCAAGATTATCTAGATACATAAAAACCCCTTACCAAATGTGGTAACGATATTAATTGCATGAATGAATCGTAGATTTATAAAGACGCAAGAGAGATTCAGACGAGAAAAAATATCTAGTCTGGGACACTGAAAATGCATTTTTAGCTATAGACCTAGCAATTGATTCGACATAATCGTTCCAAATTCATATCAATGGAAACGTTTACATAATAATAATAATAATAATAATAATCATAAAATCAAAACTAATTCTCAGACATTGTGATCAAAGCCCACTAAACAGGCAGGGCAATTCCTGTAGACTTTAAAGCAACTTGAAGATTTTCAAAAACTATCAAAATACAAGGATCTTCAAAATGGAAAACTCGAAAATGTGACATGAGGAAATCAGTAATTCCAGTTGTAGATGGATAACTCTTTTTGATTAAAAAAGAATCCGATAGAGTCATTGAAGGGATTCTTCGTAACACAAGCCTTAAAGAAATGCACAAAATTGTACTCACAATTACACCTTTTTATCTAAGATTTTATCTAAGGGTTTTTTTTTAATTATTATTTTTTTGTGAAATAATCTCTGAAGATATCATGATACCATTTCTGATTTCGTGCCTCTGGTCGATACCCGGAAAGAAAAGAGTATACAACAGAAATCAAAGAAAATCTTTGTCGTGACCCGATCATTCGGATTGCCATCTTTTCTTCGTATTCCTGTTCTCGCCCAGGTTGCAGAGGTCGAGATGGCTGGGGACCAAAGAGAATTTGACGAGGCTATTTGCATGAATTTGATTTTGGTAGACAACAATGACCGACAGAGAAACCCACACACTTGGACAGAAGCATCTCCCTCGCGGCTCTAAGGGGATAGAGACAGGTGAGGTATGACAAACCTGGTTGAATCGAGCTGTGTGGTGCTTGCTCTGTCTTGGTCCGTCTTAGTTAAACCAGTCCAAATGGCGCTGCACTCCCTTGCCAGTTTGAGAGCGTGTAGATGGCAAAGATCTATTCCGCATTTGGCATCTGACTTGGTCGCGTTCAGTCTGGTGCTTCTTTTCGACCCTACTGCCAAGGGTGGCTCTAGAGGAGTTGAAACTCTAGACGGCTTCGCTCTTGGCACCTCTCTACCATGACAAGGAACTAATAATATTATTACATTTTAAAAATGCTTATTTGGTCTTATAACGATGACAGATGAAATAAGCAGTTCGATGTAAAAGAAAAAAAAATAGAAAGAAAACGCCTGCATTATTTGCTTTCGGACTAATAAAATTATACAGAGTGCGATGAATAAATTGTCTTCTAAAGTACGCAAAAAATAAAAATTTCAATGACATCTAATTTTAGCAGATACATTTACCAAAATTGTACAAAAATATTTTGAAATAGTAAAGAGTAAATTTATTCAATAAAATCGCCATTGCCGTCAAACATAGCTCCCAGGCGACTTCGGAATCACCTGCATCTCTTCTGTGCAAACTCCTGTTGTCAGCCAATGTCCTTCCAGCAGCCACCCTCTTGACCCAGGACAGCACTACCTTCTCAAAGAACTTGTTGCAGACCTCCATGTTGTGTCTGGGGCCCTGTGGGAAGATGAATGGAAGCATAGCTTCGCCATTGCTAGTGATCTCTCCAAACGCCATCGTAATCACCATTAGACTCACCCAACTCTTTCCGGGTCCTTTCCACTGTCCTTAGATTGACACCCAAACACTCCGAAATGTTTGTATTGCAGCTTCCGGTGCGAATGCCAAGCAGTAGAGTAAGTTATTTCCAAATTACTGGTGGAGTATATTGCGTCATAGTTTTTTTTTTCTCACAGACGGTGCTCAACTGAGCTTGCGATGTTGTGCAGTCGACAAAAACAAAAACAAACAACGCGCATGCGCAAAGTTAAAAATATAAAATGGCGTCAATATACCCATCGCACCCTGTATATCTTGCTATACTTGCAACGTTTCGACTCTTGTAATCTTTAGCCTTGTTCGGGTGTCTGTCTATCCACGTAACCATCGGTGAAATTGGAAATGAAAACTTTAGTCAGTCTACTAGATTTTTCAACTTCCCCTTTCCAGGTCTAGTGATCCCCGCGTTGTTTTTTTTTTTTATTCATTACTTCTCAGTAATTGCTCGCGATCTTAAGACGTTTTATAGCAGTTTGAAATTTATTGTTGCTTACTCGGATGGACAGACAGCAAAGATGAGGTCATTAGGCCGAATGTATATAATATAAACAAGGATAAATCCTTATTCCAAAAGAAATTTCAGACAGAAACTTGAAATAAATAAACTACTTTGACCGGCGTCTCCAAATAACAAAAACAGAAGTGATTAAACGAATTGGCAGAAAAGTTAATATGTTTTCTAAGAACGGAAACAGAAATTGAATCCTCCAGATGAATGACATTTAACTAAACTAATATGACACTATTCAAAGAGGTAAGGGCCCGAAATAGAGAGCATTGTTATTTTGTACTTCCCAAAGTGACGGTTCCAACTCAATATAGCTGAAAGATTCAGCACTGGAACTCGCTGAGGTCTTGTCTTCTTTGATTATTCTTTCATGCTATTCCTTAACTCTTCGTATTTCTCGTCATGTACACCACTACCTCTCTGCTATATCTTATTCTTCTCTTTCTTCCTCTTCTTCTTCTTCATTGTCGTCGTCGTCGTCGTTTTTATTGTATTGTCGCATTTTTCAGTTTTCCTTTTTAACCTTTTAGTCATTTTTGTTTCCTATTTTTATTTTTCTTCATTCTTTTTCTTCTCATCCTTCTTTATTTATAAATCTCTGTGCAACTCATTTTTTCTGCCTTCTGCAGCTTCTTTCTTCCTTTTTTGTTAGTCTTTTTTCGTTTTACTATTCTTTCTTTCTTTCTTTCTTTCTTTCTTTCTTTCTTTCTTTCTTTCTTTCTTTCTTTCTTTGCTTATTAATCTTTCTTTCAAAGCCTTTCTCATGCCATTGCCACTGTATAAAATTTCTTCCTTTTTTTCTTTATTATTCTTTCATTCTTTTTCTTCTTCTTCTTCTTCTTCTTCTTCTTGCTGTTCATTTTCTCACCTTCATTTTTCAACCTTTCTTCTATTTTTATTCCTCTAGTTGTCCATTTTGTTTTATTTAATTAAACTTCTTTTACTTATTCTCTCATTTGTTTCTTTCTTCACTATAACGTTCATTCTTAGTTTTAATTTATATTTTTCTCTGCATTTATTCGTCATTAAATATTTTTCAATTAGTTTTTTTTTCATTTTGCTACTTTTAATTTTGGTCATTTTTCTTCATCATCTTATACTATTACTACTACTACTACTACTACTACTAATAATAATAATAATAATAATAATAAAATAATTCTTTCTGTTTTTCATTCTTTTTTCTTTCTTAATCTAATATTCAATAATCTTCTCATTTTATTACTATTATCAGCAATTTTTTTTTTCTGTATTATTCATTTTCCATTATTTTCTTCTTCTTTTTCTTCGTTTATTATTTTCCCCCCTATTTATTAATCTTACATTACCACCTTCTATTTTCCCCCTATTAAACGTTCTTTTTTTCCTTATTTTTCTTTCCTTTTCTTATTGTTCTTCTGATTATTATTATTATTATTATTATTATTATTATTATAATCATCATCATTCTTCATTTTCTTTTTCTGCTTTCATTTTTTAATCTTCCTTTTATTTTTATTTTCCAATTTTCCATCATCTTACTCCTTCTTTTGATTATAATTTATTTTTCTCTCTACATTCATTGAGCATTATTTTTTTTTTGTTTCCTTTTTATCGGCAACTTCTGATTCGATATCATTCTACAAATGTCTTCGTTCGGGTAAAATTTAAATCGTAATGACTAAATAAATCGGGAAAAACTGGACATTTTGGAGTCCACTTTGGCGGGTATTTATTTCAGGATCAACATTCTGCCTCGCTCTGTCCCAAAGTCTATTCGCATACGACGTGCAAGCCGTCACTGTAATTAATTGACGGAGCAGTCAGTCTAGAATGATGTGACAAACTGACTATAAAACCTCCTACTTACTCTCCTCGTCTTAAGCTACCGGCTTGTTGTATATTGATTTTACATTAAATATGATCATAGATTCTCATTATTGATTTAGCTACAATATCTCATTTGTTCCCTTATTTTTAGAAGAATCTGCAGCAAAATTCTACATGACAGGAACAACATGAAATTCGGTAACCAAGGCCTATGTTTGTCATGTGATCTCATGTCGTCTACAGGAACGATATTTCCTATGTGGTCTCGTCCGCAGCACAGCTAGTCTGCCAATAATTGAGTTATGTTTCAAGTGAAACTCTCCAGCGATGCCCCTATGTTTGCATTAAATCTCCATCTTAGTTTGAAATCATTCATATTTAATGTTTTTGATAGTTTTCATTTTTCTTTTCTTTTTTTATTGATTTTATAATATCTAGTCATTATGCTTGGTTGGATAACCTCCCTTTACAGCCAAGCGGCGGGCCTACTTGCCGTTTTTATTTTCTTTCGTGAATTGTGATTAGTGCAGATTGAGAAAACGAAAGAGAAAAAAAGAAAGAAAAAAGGAAGGAAGGAAGGAAGGAAGGAAGGAAGGAAGGAAGGAAGGAAGGAAGGAAGGAAATATCGTATAAATGGCGACGGACACGAGGCTGTAAACTACATTATAATCAAATGTAAGAAAAATATAGGAGAAAAATAACGGGCCCTTAAAGAATAAAAAACAAACTAGCACAATAGAGAAGAAAATTTTTGAATTTTTCAGACATGAAAATGTTTCTTGCAAATACCATAGTTTGCCTTGGAGAGTTAAAAAATATATAAAAATTAATATGTGAACCAACACAAGTTAAGCCACGTCGAGCCCAGACAATACCTCGACGGGCGACGGCTTGGAAATACCAAGTAATGCAAGCCTTGATTTGCTGGTGGTGTAATGGATAATTGTTCGAAATTGTTAATTGGTGAATCACGGTTTCAATTCCAGTTGGGTTCCTTATATCCACTTATGCGCAAATACCCTTAAGAAAGGTATGAATCCACCTCTTGTTCAACATCTATG